GCCCCCGGCCCGGGGCTGAGGGGCCGGTGCTCGGCCTCGCTGCTGGGCCCCCGGCCAGCATCTGGAAACGGAACGACACCCGGCTTTTTAGCTTGGAATACTTTAAGCTCAAGTCTTAAATGTATTCTTTTCTTTAGCAAAAAAATGTTTCGGAATTTTTTTTTTTTTTTCTTTGGATGTTGGTGTTTTTTTTTAAGCTCAGCTGCTATTGTGTAGGGTTTTATGCGTGTCTGTGCAGGTACCCAGACAGGAGTATACGTGTGCGGGCTGTGGAACCTTAGCGAATCTGAGAGGTGCAGGTGGACCCAGCAGACAGGGTCGGTGAGGTCCCCCAGCACCTTCAGAATCCAAGAAGGCAAAACCAGAAGTTGGTTGGCAGTGAAAATATTTTGTGACAGTTTTGAGAATGAACTACAAACTGTGCAGGAGTGTTGGTAAATGTATTCCTTAAAAGACATATTTTAGAAACATTTAAGAAGCTTGTGGTTTAAGTAAAACGCAGAACATAACAACAGAAGCTAGGCATTCTGTACTTTTGTACTTAGGTAAAATGCTGCGCTGTTGAGCCTATTTTGCAACAGAGTTGCTCTGTAGTTTTGATGGAAAACAGTGCAAAATCACTATAAAGATAAACCTGCTGAGCCAACAACAGAAAAAGCAAAACAAAACCTGACTGACAGTCTCATAGATTTTTATAATGTACACACCCACACACACCCTGAAAAAGTAATCCCTGAAATCTTTAAATAAACTTGTTGTTTTCACTTAATTCTTCCTGGGTTTTGTCTTTGAAACTTGTGGCAGCATCCTTTACAAATCATTTTGTGTATAAATCTGATTTTTTTTTAACATTTAAAGAAAGAAAAAGTAAGTTTCATTCTGCTCGATTCCTGTGTCTTCTTTCTTTGTACACGTGAACTTTGCCAGTATTCACATTCACGTCCGTTGTGTGAATGAATTGTTGGAGTGATTTTCAGTATTATTTTAGTGCAGGTTTGCACTACTGTGGTGGTAGAGTGAAACAGATTTGTCTTAGACTGAAGTAATAATTAGAAAATTTTATATGTTTCTGAAGATTCATTATATTACTTTCTCAATCTTAATCCTTTGATGCAAATGTAGTAAGGTTTTTTATAGTATCTTTCTTACAGTCACACAAATGCCCACATTTACAACTGCTAAATACAGTAATACAACATTCTAAGAGCTCCGATTAGTATCTTTAAAGGGTTTACTGCCCTCTCTTTTTTTTTCCTTTTTCCTGATGCAGGAAATGAGATACTGGGATTATTTACAGAAGAACCTTCAATGTTCATGGTGATCTGCATTCTTCCTCACTGAGGAGTTCACCTGAGGTTCAAGGGCTGGAGTACAGCTGTGCTTCAGGTGTAAGGATGACTGGGTCAGAGAGGGACACTTGCTACTTCTGTTGCTATTATGAAGAAGGGGGAGTTCACATGATAGTACTGTGCAGGGTCAGCTTTACCAATCTGCGTTTTCTGCATGCTTTGTTAGGCTTTTTGTTTTTAAAGCTAGGTAGAATGCAGGAATAACCATGTGCACAAATATGGGATGAAGAGTAGCTAGAGAGGTAAAATCTCTACAGGAAAAAATGATCTGGTCTTTTGGTGGATTATAAACAGAACCTGAGTCAGTGAAGTCTACTGTTAAGAAAAAAAGCCAAACTTCCTTCTCATGTGAATAACCAGAAGTAGAGCCTCCAGAATGTGTGTGTTGGACTAATGTGTCTTCTGCAGTAAAAGACGCACACCAGTTGGGCAGAATTCACAGGAGAGTGGTAGGACCTGCAAAACGGGACTTAAGGAGAACAAGTGAACAATTCGGCCTTATTCTAGAGAAGGGGTAGGGCAGAAATCTTAATATTTGTAAAAGGCAGTTCGCAGAAGGAAAGGAATATCCTATTGAGTGTAAACTGTTGTAAGGAAGATTCAGGCTAGATAATGCAATATATTTTCTAGCAGGTTGGCAAAGTGAATAGCAGCCTGGTCTAGTGGGAGGTGTCCCTGCCATGGCAGGGGGTTTGGATCTAGATGATCTTTGAGGTCCCTCCCAACCCAAACCGTTCTATGACTCCGTGATTCTATGATATTGGATATTTTTGGACACTGGTTCTGTTGAACTTCATTTTCAGGACTATGAAACAAAAAATTTTCCTTTTTCACTTTAACAGATCATTATGTTTGAGGACATGTTTCTTTACAGATCAAGAAGTATCTTGTGACATAAAAACATCAGTGCTTCACGATTGCAGTGTGGTATTTCCTTGTTTGGCATCATAAATTAGGTGGTGCATTTCTTCTACATCAGGAATGCATGGTAGCATTTCTCATGAGGAGGAAGAGGAGATGTCGGATATGGAACTGATTTATATTTCTTTGTAGTCAGGAAAATTGTGAATTCTGTTGTTTCCATAGAGTGTATGTGCGCTGCTGATACAGTCCGTGGAAACTGTGACGTAACTGAGAGAAGGTGAAACAGTCGCTCTGGTTATGTTTGAATGCCATCAGAGCTCATTGTGTGAAGAGATTACTTGGGCTGCCTTCAGTTGTTTTTACCCAGCGTGTCAAAAGGGCGGAAGGAGGGAGTTCCCTGTATGGTCAGCGTATTAAACCATTCCTGTAGTGACTGCCTATCATAGAAAATCAATAGTAACCACATACTACCTGTGTAGTCGTGTGTAGTAGCTGGTACTTTCTTTTCAGAGTCAAAATCCTACTAGGATGAAGTTGAACTTCATGTTTCTTTGGGGTGTTATGGGTGTGGATTGAGGGGAGTCTTGGGGGGAGTTTTCTGCTTGAAGATCAAGTTTTAGAAACGAAAGGGGTTGTCAGAGATGGGAATGCAACAAATATTCTATTGCCACATCTCTGAAGGCTGTGGTTGACACAGCACATCAGAAATAAAATACCAATTCGTGTAGCAACACCACAGAAAATACAAGATTTAGTGTCTTACTATGAAAAGATCTTTATTTTTGTTGTTTTCTTTCTTTTTTTTTTTTTTCTTGGCAGATCTTGTGAAATTAGCAGGGCTTCTGTTGACATCATTGGCTGCTTGGTACTTGGGATGCTTATTCGCTGCTCTCATACCCAAACAGACAACAGCAGCATCTGTTACTAATCTTCAAGACATTGGAATGAAACCAGTGTTGAGGGGTGTGTAGTTGTATTCCTTTTTTTTTTTCCTTATACGATATCTAGTGTGGTGGATTTACATGCTAAATGGCAAATGGCTTGTTAGCTAATAAATAATTTGGTATGTGCTGTTGTAAGAATGAAGTTGGCTGTGTAAAGTTAGTTAATTAGTGCAAGTCTGAACTATTTCTTAGACGTTATCTTTGAAGAAATACATTGTCAGTGTATGTTTGCCAGTATGCAGCTATAATTAATTGAATAGAAATGTAAGAAGACCTTATTTGTTTGCTGGCATATAAGCATAAAGCGGCAGCTGCAGCTTTGGTTCTATCATGTATATCTTACAGTTATGGTAAACTGTTGAATCACTAACCAAACTTTGTGATTAAATTCTCATTATTTTTTTCTCTCTAATCTGACTGGGTGGCTTAATGTGTACATTTTTCTCATTCTGTGACTATGTTATCATGTGAAAAAGTCTTAAAATGAGAACAATAACTTACCTTTAAGCTATTGGTGGGAAACCTTCATCCCTCTAGCCCTTGTTTCCTGTTATATGAAATAGCACAAAATAATTACTCTAGGTTCAAGTCAGATCATACTATATGGGTCATTTTTCCCTAGATAAGCTTGATCTTGGTCCCAGCAGCTCTTTGAAAGTCAATGATAACCTAAAACCTAGGCAAATCTGTGATAATGTTGCCATGATACTGGAAAACCTGCAGGATTGGCTTCTGTGTATGTATGTTTGAGCTTAGCATGTTTTAAGCGATTGTTTCCATGTAGAAATTGTTTATGCAGCATCCAAGAAAACATTTTGTCATCTTTGTTGTTGTAGCCCCAGTCCCAGAAAGGCAGAAGTGTGATCGCTGGTCTCCCTGCGCACCTGGGAACTATGGCTATTGGATTCTTAGTGGTGGTGGCAAAGGAAAGCTGCCTGAAATTTGTTTTGAGGATGAGCTGTGAGTACCAGTCTAACTTTAAACATAAGCAAGTGCTTTGTAGTGTGAAGAAGGGCGTTTCATTTTGGTTCAGTAGCAGCAAATAAGCACTTACCAGGGGGCTGCTATTCTGGTGTATTAGCTCCCCCCCCCCTATTTTTTTAAAAATGCCAATTCTCAGGTCATTTTCTTTGTTCCTGTACATAAGCTGCATTCAACTGTTACTTTCAAGTGTGATTTTTAACTTTCATGGTGTGGGATAGCCGGTTTAGAGTATGTTGAATGGTCAACACCTTCTGAAAGTCAGGTTCTTTCATGGCTCTTCAAACTGGACAGGTAGAGTGACTTCAAAACTTCACAATGATCTTTTATGTGGATATAGTCCACACAGAATACTGCCCCAAAACCACATTTTATCTTGCTTTTTTTTTTTCCTTCTCCTTTATCTTTCTGGCTGCACTTGTATGAAGTACTTTTTCGATCTGGCTCATTTTGAAAGATTTATTGTGCTCCGTTGAAGGAACCTGACTGATACGATGTGCAAGATTTTTAAGCCATAGTTCTTGTTTACTACAAGGTCTTGAATTAAATAACTCAAGAAAATATGAACATCAGAAAATGACTTAGCGTTGGTACATATAACTTTGGATCAGAGCTTCTGGACGAATGCATTCTACTGATACTGTATTTATTTTGATTCCAGGCTTATAAGCAAAGAGAAGGGTAATGTTGGAAGAGGTATAAACATTGCCATTGTGAGTTGTAAGTAAGAGAAAAAATGTTAGAGAGGTATACTTTTGTACTGCAATATTTTACAAAAGTTCTTGGGGGGATTGGGGGGATTTTTGTTCATTTTGGTGGGGTTTTTTTACTAGCTAGTATGGAAGGAAATGGAAAGGAAAAATTTGCAAACTTCATTCATGTTAAATGTAAGAAAAACAAATCTGTGTATGGGAGAAAGAGTCTTCTGGATAAACAAAAGAAACGTGTTCATAATCAGTATAAGGAACTAGAAAATGCATACATAGAAGCAGTATATGTGTATTTGATTGGATTAAAAACCTGCTTCTTATGTAACATGGCAAAAATATCTGTGATCTCCAGCAGTAAGACTCCACTTTCAGTTTCAGTCCTTGATAAAAGATATCTGCTGCTCCACTGATAAGGGACAAGCAGTAACTGAGAACTGAAGTTCTGCCCCAAGGTACAACCCAGGTACAAATTCCTTTTCCAGACTTGGTCAGCGGATAGAAAGACAAACTCAAAGTTCGATTAATATTAAACTGCCATTATATGTCTTTGCTTATAGTAGGAGCTATAGGGAAGCAGAAGGTGCAGTTTATTCTGTATCTGGAGGCACAATTTTAATTTAGATGACTGGGAATGGTGAGGAAGTGCAGTGTATTCAGTAATGCATCCTGAGAAAAATGAATGCCTAAATGTGGTGGGGAAGGGGAAGAAAGGGAGTTCAGATGTGCAGTCAAGTTGTCTTTGATCACAAAACACTTACGTTCCGGTTGTTTTGTCTCAGTATTGTTAAGCAAGATCTTGACCTTGTCTAAACTTGCATGATTTTATTGAAGTGTCTGGGTCAAATTACCATAGACGAGAATCTGTTCCAATTTATTTTCCCCAGTTAGAAAAAAAAAATTACTGTGGGTTTTTTTTTCCAATAAGGAATCATAAAAACTTTACTGGTTATAGTAGCTGAACAGTTAAAAATGAGTTTTCAGCATACAGCTGTAGAGTAAGAGGGCAAATACTCATCTTGAATGCACAAGCAAGATTATAGGAAATAGGAGTAGGGAACTAGTGTTGTCTTTGCATCTAACATTAGTGAGGAAAAAGAAGTGTTTATATCAAGTTTTACACATTTATAAACAGCCGTTTCCTTTATCACACATACAGTCGTTTTAGCTACACTTTCATCTGCAGGTAGATCTGTCCATTGTCTCAAACCAATTTGTAGCGAGACATATTTTCTACGTGTCCTCTAATTATGTCAGTCAAGCTAATGACTTTGCTCAATAAGTTTCCTATGGCATCATGCTTGTGTTTTATTCCGTAATGGTAACTCTTTCTTCTCTGAATGAATACGGTCTTTTGTGAGAAGGAAGACAGAACTACTAAGCCCAAGCTAACAACACAGAGGGAGAGAGAAAGAATTTTTGGATTTCTGCTGTCCTTACTGCAGCCTTTTCCATTTTTTCGTTGTCTCTGCTTAGAAGAAGCCCAGTTTTAGAATGCTGTTTTACCACTGGCAGATTTTTGCCACCTTTTCCCCTCACCAGCGTGATAAACCTGCCAATTAGAGTCCTACATTTGGAAGAATCTGCCTTCATGATTTTACCATATATGGATCAAAGATAAGCCAGAAATGAATCAGGAATGGCTGGATCTTCTCACTAGAAATGAGCTGACGTACTCTAAAGGGAAAAGACCCTCTCATGTAGCAGGGATATGGGTCTTGGATAACAAAAATGAATTAACTCAGTTGATATGCGTTTAGAAATTTGAAAAGTATTTCCAATTGTACAAAGATAGCCATCTAAACACCAGCATAATTAATTATGAATATTGACCAAAATGTTTTGAAATGACTAATTGTTTGCATGCCCAATTTCTGATACAGTAATGATAAGTGTTGAGTTTCTGTCCACTGTCAAACGGCGTGAAAGGTTGCACGTCTGAAACACTGCACAGAATAATATTCTCATGCAAATAATCTTGGGCTTGACCAATTTTCCTACTTATGGTTGTGACCTAGAATAGTATATATAGATACAAAACCATGGAAGCACACAGTAAACTGCATTCTTTCTTTAAAATAAAAAGTAATAAAAATATTTTAGTCACATTTGATATTTCAGAGACTATATGAAAGACAATATTCTCCCCAAATCTTAAACTTACGTTATTCCATATTCCTTCCTATTTAAAAACTTAAAAGAAAACTCAGAAGCCAAATAATACACAAAATTAGAGAAGCCTAGCTTTAGCTGAAAACACTGTATATGCTGATTGAATTTAATAAATTTTTCTCATATTTACACAACTTTTTTTTTTAATTACAGATAAAACAGGAAGAGTTACATCAGCAAAATTTTTTGACATGTGGGAAGGAGGTAGGGAAAAGAATGCAACAGAGCTTTTGTTAGTGTTTGTTTCAGTATTAAGAAAGGACTTATATAATTATCCTGCTCTTTCAAATGACTATGATTGTATTATCAGTGCGGATCAGCTAGAAGCAAACAGCTGCTGTCTTCACAAAATATGTGTGGCCAGATCTGGTGACAAATTTTTCCTTAAAAGCTGATTTTCTCCTGTTGGTTGAGATAGTTGATTGTCTTTTTTTTTTTTTTTTAATTGTCAAATTGCTGGTTTTTTAATTGTCTTTTTTTTTTTTTTTCTCTCCATTATTTCAGTCTGGTAGGAGTGGCACTTAACCAGGTACCACATCCAGATACTTCACTCAGCAAAATTCCTTTCCCTGACATATTTTGTTCTATTTCAGTGGTAAAATCATCATAGTAAATATGCTAGTCTGTCTCTTAACATCCTTCCATGTAGCTAGAAAGATGATCTACTTTAAGAATAGCTTTTAACATGTTTTCCAAACTTTAAACAACAGCAGTTTCCTTACCTATTAGTAAGGAGAAACAGAATGCTATGAGGCACTGGGAGCTGATTCTCTGACCACTTAAGAGTGCTTGTGACCTTACGTGCATGAACAGAAATCATACTGAAACTAATCATGGGGCTATAATTTTATATACGGTATGTAGGCTGTAATGTCCCCAGGGTGCCTGTTAACTTTTTTTTTTTTGGTGGAAAACAAGTGTCTTGTGTATGTTTAGCAACTGCAAAACCAATAAATAGCTTAGTGCTGCAAATAGGCTGCCACTTAATTAAAGTGGATGGACAATGGGGTGTGTAACTCAGCTCTGCAGTTAGCATGGTAGTAGGGAGCTCACAGAATAGCAATGACTTCTCCTGGGCTATTCCATGCTTGGCTTGCATGTGTAATATTATGTGAAATAAATGTAAGAAACCATCTATATACTTACCTGGGTGTAAATGGCTTTTGTAGAAGTTCAGAAGTATCTTCATTCGCTACTGGGAAATGTAGATCAATCCATGCTCTCCTAGCCTTCAGTAAGAGCTTTCAGCACTTTTCAGGATTAGGCCCTCTGCCTGTAAACAGAAAAATTGCCTAATTAGGTCTCATTTTGAATAGACAAGGCCAGAAAGTGAAAACAAGTTAAAAGTAGGTGGAATGTGATATGTGTGTAATGAATAATCAGTTGTGTAATTGATTCAACAGACCACTCAGGAGAGATGACGACTTTCATTAAAAATACACCAGAAGGGTCCCTCCTTTTGATGGTGACCTACGATGATGGAAGCACCAGGTAACCAAGCTATTCATGACAGGCTGAGGAACAGAGCAATGAATAGCTTGAAAATCACTATTGCATAATGGTGTGGAGGAACGGTAAATTTCACTCTATAGTCAGGGTTGCTCCCTCATTTCCTGCCCAAAACGTTTTGATTCTATGTCCATTTGGTGCTTGCCCATATCATGTATGTCGATGCTTCCAAAGATGAACAGATAGTGTTATATCTATATATGAAGGCTGTGCTGCCATTCAGTGAGACCTAGACAGGTTGGAGAGCTGGGCGGGGAGAAATTTAATGAAATACAACAAGGGCAAGTGTAGGGTCCTGCACCTGGGAAAGAACAGCCCCATATACCAGTATAGGTCGGGGACTGAGCTGTTAGACAGTAGCGTAGGGGAAAGGGACCTGGGGGTCCTGGTGGACAGCAGGATGGCCATGAGCCAGCAAGGTGCCCTCGTGGCCAAGAAGGCCAGTGGCATCCTGAGATGTGTTAGAAGGGGTGTGGTCAGTAGGTCGAGAGGGGTTCTCCTCCCCCTCTGCCCTGGTGAGACCCCATCTGGAATATTGTGTCCAGTTCTGGGCCCCTCAGTTCAAGAAGGACAGGGAACTGCTGGAAAGAGTCCAGCGCAGAGCCACAGAGATGATGAAGAGGATGAAACATCTCCCTTCTGATGAAAGGCTGAGGGAGCTGGGTCTCTTTAGCTTAGAGAAGAGGAGACTGAGGGGTGACCTCATTGGTGTTTATAAATACATAAAGGGCGAGTGTCAGGAGGATGGAGCCGGGCTCTTCTGGGTGATGTCCAGTGACAGGACAAGGGCCAACGGGTGCAAGCTGGAGCACAGGAGGTTCCACATTAACATAAGGAAGAACTTTTTCACTGTGAGGGTGACAGAGCACTGAAACAGGCTGCCCAGAGCGGTTGTGGAGACATTCAAAACCCACCTGGACGCGTTCCTGTGTGACCTACTCTAGGTGGTCCTGCTCTGGCAGGGGGGTTGGACTAGATGATCCTTCGAGGTCCCTTCCAACCCGTAACATTCTGTGTGATTCTGTGATATTTGTTGAAAAAGCGCCAGATGTCCTCATAAAGGGCACTGCTGTTACCTCTGGGTCACAACCTTTTATTAAAAAGGTATCCACACCTCCAATTCTAACATATGTAGTTTGCATTCCTTCTTATATCTTAGCCTGATTCTTCCAGTGCTTTTGAATCTTAGGCGTTTTTTTAGTTGAATTCATGATGCTGTAATTATACAGGGAAAGACTTAATCATTTGGTTGATAAACATTTGGTGCCCTTTTCCTTATTTAAGAAGGATTGAAACATCAAATAGTATTTGAGATACCTTTTTCTTTCTGCTATGCTTTTACAAACAGGTTGTGTTAACATCAGGAATGTAGAAAGGAGGAAGAAAAGAATTTTGCTCCTTCAGTTTAATGGCATGCTACTAAGACAGCTCTCAGGCTTTTTTAAACTTACTGGTTTTGCTTCTGGTGACTTACTAATGTAAAGCATGAAGCAGCTGTGTCCTTTTTCAGCATTTTTCAAGTCCTGAATTTTTAACACTTTTTTTCACTATATTTTTCTAGGTTGAAAAATGACACCAAAAAACTAGTAGAAGAGCTGGGAAGTAAAGAAATATGGAATATGAAGTTCAGGTCAAGCTGGGCTTTTATAGCTGCCAAAGGCTTCAAGCTGCCGGATAATATCCAAAAAGAAAAGGTGAGGTTAATTTTATTTTCACTTTATATTTGTCTGTATATCAGACATCACCTTCAGGTGCAGCTTTCATGTGTTAGCTATAATAACTGTAGTCTGCTCAGTAAGTCTCAGTCGCACAAAGCAAGTTCTCTAATTTGTTATCATTCTTTGCTTTGGATCTGGGCCGTGTACAGCACTGACTTCTACCGCACCAGCACTAAATCATCTGTAGACAAATTTCAGAAGTGACCAGTGATTCTAGAGAGTCTCACTTTTGAAATGTCCAACCTGACATGCTGTACAGAGACTTACATTTTCCTCTGGAAGGACAAATTCCAAGGACTTCCTAAAAATAAAGACTGTTTTCATATGAAAATTGGGCTGTCTCAAATTGGCCGTGCAAATGCAGCAAGGCTTGCATCACAAAACTTCTCTGAGTAACTTGCCCTCAGGCTTCAGGGGGACTAAAGGTACCATTTTATATCAGATTTCTGTTTGTATCTGTGACCTTGTTGTATTCGCTTTCTATAAGCCCGATAGTTTCCATCTATATGACAGAGGCAGACAGAAATAGGAAAACCCAACACAGCAGTCCATTCCCTTGATGATACTGACTCCTTCCAAAGGCATGTGAAACTTCCATAGGGTTTGGGGGTTTTTGCCCAGAATATTGTTGCAATCTTAATTACAGAGCTTCTGCAGGAAAAAAAAGGTATTCAATTTAGTGTAGATTATGACAGCCATCTGGGAAATAAATAAAGCGCTTTGTGTAAGAGAGAAACTGGTGGAATCTTCACCCATTTTGTCAAGCAAAATGTGCAATGTGCTACTTAGTTTCCCGGTCCTACCCCTTACCCCCTTCTGTTGTATGAGGTTTGTCAAACTAGTTTGTAAATGGAGAACCAAATATTGAGGGGTTTTTAATTCTTTTTTGTTTTTTAACAGATAAATCACTCTGATAAGAAGAAGAACAAATACGGTGGTTGGCCAGCTGAAATCCGAATAGAAGGCTGTATCCCAAGAAACCTGATCTGAACAAATACATACCTCGTTAATAAAGATAATTCTATATTTTTACATCTGTGACTCTACTGAGTTGCCTCCAGAACCCAATCAGCATCTGAACAGTAATTGTAAAATAAGTCATATGCACAGTTTTTAACCTTTCTTTCCTCTGTGAGGTTTTACTCTAATCTGAAAACAAATAGGTATTTTGATGACAAGTGGGAGTAAAGTGATCTGGTTTGAAATTACAATGTTCAGAAAGTCGGTCATGAAATACCAGTATTTTTCGAAGTGAGTATACGTTGTCATTGGTAATTTTAGGTTCTGGGATTTTTTTGTTCGTTTGGTTTTAGTATGTGTTCTCTTTTGGTTCCCTTTAAAGACTAATACGCAAATAGAACTTAGTCTAAATTGTAATATAAAATCTCTAGCAATAAAGCAAATTATTTTGATGTTAGATTATTAGTAACGTTGCTTTTATTTAGAAAAAGTATATGGAAATAGCAGATACCTTTCTTGAGCTGGTTTTAGTGACATTGGCAACATGGAATAGCAATGTTAACATGTAAAGATGAAGCTACTTGAGTTATTTTACCAAATTGAAGCTGCAAATCTACATGGGTTTTTTTAATTATTTTTTTCTTCCTGTAAATTTAACTTACTTAAAAAAATGTAGTGACTTCATGTAGGCTTAAGTGTTATTCATGCTAATTGTAGAATCAAACACATGATTGTAAGGAAGCTGTAGAAGCCATTTATTCAGTTTCCCTTTTTCTGAAGCACATCAAGTGTGTCTGAAACTTTCTTAATTGGTGTTTGTCCCCCTGTTGTTCAGAAGCCTCCCATATGGCAGATTCCACAGCTTAAGTTGCTTCCTGTGGCATTTCCCTGTTATTCTAATTATTCCCCAAACATACTGAATTAGCCTAAAAGGACCAAGCCAATTACACAGACAGTAACTGATCACCGTTCTTGCCTACCTGGTATATTTTAATCTTTTTTTACATTTTTTTCACCATTAAAATGTTCATTTAGCAGCAACTGTCTTAACACGCTGTGCTTCAAATGGGTCTTAGCACTCCATGCAGCTACTTAGGAGTGTCCCACGCTCCAGTCTTTGACCAGGAGAAAGTGGCGATCTGAGAGGGTGGCTGCCGACAGCCAAATTCAGTCTGCTCTTGCTCTCCGTGTGCCTGGTTGAAGCCCTGTCAGCAGCGCTTCAAATCTCTACCCTTGTCGCAGCTGCCACTACCTACTTGCAGTCACTGCTGTGATCCCAGCAGCTTTCTGGTATCACATCCCAGACCAGTCCCTAAAGCTACATTTCCTGCTACCAGTTTGTGAACTGCTCCATAGACCTGGGGCGCTGCCAAAGGACACAGTTAAATTAGTTTTTACCCAGTTTGACTTCAGCAGCCTCAATGGTTGCTCCTTATCACCTTGCTACTGATGAGGTGCTTACAAATTGAGTACTTAAATAGCTGTTTCAATATTTTTCCACATGTAAGTCATTCTTCTTCTGTTCTTTTTGCCTGTTCATCCTACAAGTTGAGTAGGTCAGGGGCCTCGTTTTGGTATTTTACACATCTAGCCGTAAACACATATGACCTGTTATAAGACATGCTGAACTTGGCCTTGTTCTTGAAACTAGGGATTTGGATGGGAGACCCAAGGTTTGCAGCAGTTGCAGGCTGTTTCACAGTTAAGAATGCTGCTGTTCCTTACACGTGTTTTTGCAAGAGAGAGGAGCTATCGTAGGCACCTGTCTCCTGTGTGAGCCTGCGGTGGGCCAGAGCTCCTCTGAAGATACTTCAGTGCTTATTCCTTGGAAGGTTTGAAGCAGTGGGTTCCAGGTGCCTTGTATGTGCTTCCTAGGGTTGTTATATCATTGCAGCACAATCAAACCTCTCATAAGCTTTGGATAGTGACCTAACTAATTGTACTTTAACGTTCCTGTCATCCGGATCAATGCCAAGACTTATGGCTTGTGTATGTTCATTGTCTTAAGTGTACAGCTTCATGTCACCGATAATTTATTCAGGCAGTGTTCATGTTACTGGCAGAACATTTATTCCTTTACATTGTAATCACCCTTTGTTACATGTCTGAATTATAAAAATAACATAATTACAGTACTAATGGTCAGCAGTCCTCAGAGTGCCAAGCTCTGACACAGCCCCCAAACTCTATGTGTCAGATGGTCATTGCCTTCTGTTCCAGGCCACAATTAACCTTACATCAATTACAAATAAATTTTACATCAATTTCTGGTTAGTGGTTACCATGAAGTGTGCAAGTACTCCATGTGCTCCATTCTCTGCACGTTCTCCATTCTTTACATTCTTTACATTTGCTCTGTTCTTCACACTCTGTATGAGTATTCCGTTCTTTACAAATGGTCAACAGGAAAAGGTGCATACCCATAATCTGAATCAAATGTCAAACCACCCGAGAACCTTTCGCAGCACAAGTCTCTGCAAAATGTTCTTTAACTCCATCGTGTTTTCACTTTTGCAGTTGAGTCATCTAGACAAAAGTGCTACTAATCTGCAGTGCTGAATACCTGTCATCAGCTTCGTTTTTCTTCATTCATGCCCACAGTGTTTAAATAGGGTAGGCAGAGAAGCCTCGAGTATTATGATAACTCTGATCTCAAGAAGTCATGGAAAAGTGGTCACTTGAGCAAAAAGGTGCCATTTTTTTAATCACCTTTCAGATTAGAACCAATATTACAGGGAGCTGGTTTGAAAGTGGGATTTTGACTTTGCACACACAACTTTTAAATGAGCTGCCTTCTAAGGAGGAGTGAAAAGCTTTTTTATGGAACTGTAATTCTGAAAAAATAACCTGGGAAAATGTTTAATAGCTTTGGATTTAAAAATAATCAAAAGATCATGAAGTTAAACATTTCATTTTATTTGGGGGTGAGGCCAGAGGGTGTAGGATCCATAATGGTGATCTCCTTCCTTACCTTCTGGGTCATCTCTACAACTACCTGAGAGGACATTGTAGGGAGCTAGGTGCTGGTCTCTTCTCACAGGTAATTAATGATAGAACAAGAGGGAATGGACTCAAGCTGCACCAGGGTATGTTTAGGCTAGACAGTAGGGAAAATTTTTTCACTTAAAGGGTTGTCAGACATTGGAATAAGTTGCCCAGGGAGCTGGTTGAGTCACCATCCCGTAATGTGTTTAAAGGTCGTTTAGATGTGGTGCTTGGACATATGGTTTAGGGGTGTACTTGGTAGAGTGGGGTTGGTGGTTGGACTCTATGAACTCAAAGGTTTTTTCCAACCTGAACAATTCTATGTGCTCTAGAACACAGGCAGACTCCAGCGGTGGAGGTCAGTGCTGTCGATGCCAGGTGACACTGCCAGCCACAAGCAGTGGGTAGGAAGAAATTTGCTGTGCTCTCCTGGGCTGAGTAGGTGCTGTGGTCTTCACCACGTCTTGTGAAATAATTCTGGGTGTTTAGTACGGCATGCGGGTTCACCACCACGAAATAAAGTGAAAACCTGCAAAGCAATTAATCTTTTTCTTGCCCTAGTAGGCAAGCCCAATGGGAAAACATGGGCTTTAAGCAGTAGCATTACCCAGGGCTTCGGTTTGTGTATCTAAAAGCAAAATGGCACAGCAGGTGGCAGCAGTGTCTTTCCAGATCCTCCGCATGTGTCGGTAGAAGAACCCGACCTCCCTGTGGTTACGTGTCCTGGACAGACACTGGAAGCCCCAGACACGGGCTGGAGGTCGCCCTGCCTTTTGCTTGCGGCTGGGAGGGAAGCCATCAGCTTTGCCTCTAACGCGCCAGACCTTCCTTTCCTGAGCTGTGCCAGTGGCAGGCTCCCATTTCAAATATCCAGCCCCGCCAGCACCAGCCTGCTGTTCAGCATTCCTCACAAGAAGGTCCCTCATAGCCCCTGACCATTTAGGTAGGCATTTTTGATAGAAGCGGTTAGAAAAAGTAGCTATAGTTCCCGTTTTTCCCTCCACTGTGAACATGACAACCAATCCCACAAAGAACGAAGTACCTGGACAGAGGCCCTTTTTCATCTCTCCACTTAAGAGAATGAGAAGCTTTTCAGGGTCTTGACATATCTCTTAAAAATCCCTGGATCCCTGACAGTCCAATTTGGTGGCAGTGGTAGGAAATATTGATCAAATAATAGGTAACATTTTCAGTTTCTCAGTGGTAACTGTTTCTTTAGGTTCTTTGTGTAACGTTATCTACCTCAAAGTGGGAAGTTTCCACTATATTTAAAAGAAAAATACAAGAAAGGAAAAGTTCTTCAGTGAAAGATGCCCTTTCGCAGGCAGGCTGTGCTTAAAGCAAAACTCCCACTGACTGCAGTCCGCTCAGAAGAGCAAAGAGAAGCTGATGCTTTTACTTACGCATGGTGCCTGGTGGGAAGTAATGTGAGTGTCCTATCTCTGATCTCTTCTCAGCTGCAGGTGAAATGCTGAATGATGACTGGAATTCAGGGGATTAAGATGGGCGTTTTTAATAATGTTTGAGAAACAGCAATTCCTCATTTCCTGGGACTCTGAAGTTTTGATTTTGCTTCTCTGCTGGGTTTTTTAAGTTGTTTTTTTTTTTTTTCTTTCCAGGGGAGATTTTCAGCAGCATAGGAAATGTAGATTCTCCCCCTTCAAATACAAACTTTACACTAGCAAGTCTAACATGACTTTTTCCTTCTTCTGAAGATGAGAGCATACAGATAGATGCTTTAGCCTGTCTCAGTCTCCATTGCAGGTCTCATTAAAAATAAAAAAAATACTTTTTAATAGTTATGTTTCAGCCAAAATCAATGCACATTTCAAACCTTGTACTTCTCATATAAATCTTACGTGGTTAGGCTTTATATAGCTGCCTTCTATCTCCTGGGCATTCCCTACCAGTGTTCTTGGTAATGAGACTGCACTTCCACCAGGGCTAGAAGGTCTGTGACAACCTGGGCTTGGACAAGAAGAGTGAAGTTTTGAAGTGAGACTTTCCAAAGTGTTATTAGTGCTTTGAGGTCACATCTGACAATA